CACCACTAGAAATATTGTTGTCACTCATCAGAAGGATTTGTTTGGGTCAATAAAAAAAATTACAATCAAGTTAAATGGTGTATCTCAACTGTTGACCTATTGTGTGGTAGTGTCGACATATTTAGATTAAACAGTAAATTACCAGGATTTGTAAATCTTTGCACATAGCAATGGGTATTCTACCAACATTTGCGTTCTGTTTTCTTTGTCTTGATTTGACATTATCCACGAGGTGACATCTCGAATCCACTTCAAGGTGACATGCTAGAAGCGAGGTGGCATTGATTCTTAAGATCCGACGGTGATGAGTGGTAGGGCAAAGCATTTCTAGGAATGTGTCATCGTTGATGTTGACAGCACGACAAGCGCCTGTGTAATTGATACAGTTACCATGTGCCAGAGCAGATGTGGAGTCTAGCCTCTGATAGCACACGCTTTAGAAGTTATGGTGAAGCCGTAGTCAAGCAGTGGGACCTAGTATATACCTCCAATGCTCACTGCACATGACCATCACTACCCCCTTTCTCGGCCTTGGCATCCTCTTCATAGTCCGAGAATGGATCGACCTCCATGATGAATAATTTTTTGATTGCGATACTAGGGATCAGCCATGAATCACAGTTAAAGCAGATGCCTTGCTCTCCATGAGCTACCATCTCCAACAATTTAAGAGTCTCTTTGGTTTTAATGATTTCAGAAAACGCAGGCGAAGATGTGACTTTAGTTTTAGGCTCTTCTATATCCATACCGTGTGTTTTTGAGTCTTTTCTTGAGGTGCTCATTTCCTAGGTATGGTGATAATAGGTACGAATTCTGGCGGCAGAATCCAGAAAGATGAACTCTGATATTTACAATGTGTGGTCATTGGCCAACGATACGGAGAAAACGGTTGAAGCTCTACATTCAGATGTCCAAAAGGTATGTACTTCTAGGCTATCTCAGTTATGATAGTCTTTATTACTTGGTAGCCACAAGTCGATTAACTCTTTTGTATACTCTTCGTTTTGTGTATACAGTATTAAAATCTTGTAGTGAAATTTGAAATTTCCACACACTTCTGTTGAAATTAAAACAATTGTGATCTGTCCTTCAAACATTAGTGCATAAGGAGGTTCAGGCATTGTGCTATGTTATTTAGTGAAGTTCAACATTTACAACATTGTCTGTGAATGTCCTAATCCCAACCTCATGTTTTTTTATCTATTGAGAATATATCCTGAAATGTTTCTTACTTGGGTCAAACAACTGTCATAGAGGTTAAAAGATGATTCTTACGTAATACGTTGCACCTTGAGAGTTAAGAACGCAAGCATGCAATGATTTGAAGAAATTACTCAGGGAAATGCTACACTTTGAAAGTGTCTTAGCAATATTGGCCTTAAAATCCCTTAAACAGCAGTGCCCGCCAAAATTCCCCTGCATGAGCTGAAATCTTAGCAAGTTCAACAGTCATAATTGATATGTATTGCCTGTGTTGAAATTTCAATCTAAATTTTGTTTTCTTCATTCAACCAAAGTCAAACTTAATACTGATATGTTTCAATCTGATTTCTGTTTTTCTCATAGTTGCATTTTGTAGTCAGAGTTATATTTAGATTAGAAGGAGCATTATCATGGGACAGAAGGGGTTTCCTATTTTTCATGGGATTTAGTTTTAGGTTCTCCTGTGTTGATGTTTACTTTTATTGTGCGACTGTGAGTTATTTCGGAAAGCTGTTTGAGCTAGTCATCTGATTGGTATAACAGGCTCAAATTATAATGGATGAATCAAGGAAGATGAACTCTAATGCTCACCAGATATGGTCATTGGCAAAGGATACAGCAAAAAAGGTCGAATCTCTGTATACAGATGTTGCAAAGGTATCACTCTCATGGCTAATGTCTGTTTTGATTATCGTAATTTATGTGTATGTGTTATTTCAGATTGAAATTTCAGATCTAATTTAAAATCTAATAGTTTTGCATTTGAACCTTGGTAGACAAGAAAGTTTAGATCATTCATTGTCTTATCTTCTTTAGCCAAAAGAAACTTCTAAGATAGAATGTTTGACCACTGTGAATGTTCTAGCCCCTACTCATTATTTTTCTTTAGCATTTCTCATGATGAACACACATCGTAAATTTAAGAGTTCTTTTTGTTGAATGTGCTGCTAAATGCACTTCATTGTGTGTTAGAAAAAGAACACCAAAGAAGGTGTGGTGAGTTCACATTGGGAATTTAAGAGCTCATTCCTTGAACATGCACCTAAGTGTGCCTCATTTACGTATTAGGACACCAAAGAATGCGCAGAATAGAAACCACCAACAGTGGCAGGCAGCTCAAACAAAGCAAAACCACAACCAGACGACAAAAGAAAGAGGCAAAACTAATTATAAGCCAAAAAATAGACAGCCGAAACTGCCAAAAAGACTGCACATGGAGAGGTGAGCCGTAAGCGGCGTTCCAGCCAACATCCAGATCTGAGTATCAATTGCAATGACCCCAACGACCGAGTGAACATGCGGTGTTACCGCATCAAAGAAACATGCATTCCTGAGTTTTCAGAGCCGCCAGATTGTGAGGATGATCAGCCACCTGACTCCTTTCTCAACCATGCATTTAGCAGCAGTGAGCAGCTACCCTTTGAGGTCCTCCATGGAGATGCTCATTTTAGGGGCCACTTGGTTTGTAGGAACTCACTGTATCTGGGTAACATAGACATACACCCTTTGGATGTTTGGTTTTTCTGGTTTCGGCGAGTCTGGTTTGGCTGGCTGTGGCTGCTGTTAGATTTGCTGGATATCGGATCGGCGGATAAGCACGGTGCAACAACTGTTGTTTGGTTATTACTTGTAGCAGCAGTGAGTGTAGTAGCATTTTATATCTATCACCCCAGTGTTGAGTTTTGATCTGACAAGTTTCTTTTGGTACAATCAAAGATGTCCAGTTTTCTTATATTATTTATTATGCACCAAGAAGCAATGACGATTACAAAGTACAGGTGGATGTAAATGCCTATGTTTCTACCTGTACCTGTTTGCAGTTGCCACATAGTTATCTTGCTAGAAGGTTTTATTTGGAACTATTCATGGGTATTATACAGTACATGGACCTGCATGTGGTTAGACTAGATTATTGCACGCTCTTATGTATTCATGCTTGCTTTTGTGTGCTACCGCGGAGAACTAGAATTTGCAACTAATTGTGGGTGCAGGTGCAGCCCTTTCTGAAAGCTGTTTTCAGCTGGCCATCTTACTGTTATTTTGCTTAGAGGTTGAAATTCTAATCAGTGGACTATAATTGTAGGTTCAAAGTGTAACTGATATATCAAAAAAGATGGAATCTAATATACACAAAGCATGGTCTTATGCAAAGCAGACAGAGAAGAGGGTTGAAGATATATATTCAGATGTCAAAAAGGTATTTTGTTCTACTTTACCTTTCTTGAATATATATGCAGGAGCATAATTTTGTATTCTATAGATTTTTTGCATATGTTTGGAAAAGGTTTATATTGATTCTCTGCTGTCTGTAATACGAAACTTGAACGTATTAATAAATTCTCTTATCTTAGTAGATAAGAATGTCCAGAGCAACTTGCTATGTTAACTAGTTCCTCCAATCAAAACGTAGGCTTTTTAGGACATTGACAGGGTCTTTGATATGGTACTTTGACCATCGAACTCTGCGCAAACATTTTGTCTCGCATAAAAATAGCAATACATTATGAAAATATATTTCATGACAAGTCTAATACAATATACTACCTCCGTTCCTAAATATAAGTCTTTAGAGATTCTAATATGGACTACATACGGAGCAAAATGAGTGAATCTACACTCTAAAACATGTCTATATACATCCGTATGTAGTCCCTATTGAAATCTGTAAAAGGACTTATATTTAGAAACGGAGGGAGTAGATTTGATGTTTTGGGTGCTAGTAATTCTTTTTTTTATAGATGGTCAAACTAGTTGCAGATTTTCAAATGGTTATGCAGCCTTTTGAGCAAAACAAATGATGTGCCAACCCCAACAGACTGTATGTGCCCCCAATTAGATTAGATACCCTGTGTGTTCTTTGTTACTAGGATATTCCTATAGGGAGCAGAATTGCAGGTCCTCCACCATCGAAAAACGTGGCGCCCTCTGGTGATTTAAACATGTGCCATTGGGTTGAGTAGGAGAACTTGTTATGATCTCCAGCGCAAATTCGTATAGGTTTGATTTACCTGCTCACAACTGTGTATAACATCATCTGTGCAGGGCTTCAAGAAGAAGGCCTGGATGAGCTGATTGCGCCGTCGACTTGACGGGCTAGCATTGGCCTGGGCATGGAGTAATGTAGTAGAGAAGCCACCCGGCCTTGCGTCTGCGAACCTGTAATGCCCCTTGATATTGTATGACACGTTTACGGTTGCGTCGTGCGTGTTGTGGACATGATCGTACTGTGTTTCGGATCTGACTCACTCGCTTCCTGTTTCTGTGCCGTCATGGTAATGTATATATTGATGATGTGCAGCGGTAATGCAATAATATGCGACTTTCAGGACTCCGTGATTGTAGTGTTAATTATATCTACGTCAGTATCCCCTACTACTTCCTACATAAGGTTCTGTCGCATCCCTCCTCCAACCTTTACCTAGGTTCGCACCCCTCCCCCCTCTCTGTTTTGATCTTTTTCGTCTCATCTCTGATTTTGTGCACTCAGTTTTCTTGAAAACAGCATCAACTGGCCATCTTTTATTCACTTCCTGAATAAAAAAATCATTTTCTTCATTTAATCAATATATGCTTACTAAATGAGGGAGTGCCAAATAAAATCCTAGTCCCTCCGTTCTAAAATAAATGCCGTGGTTTTAGTTCAAATTTTGCAACGGAGGGAGTATTTTTTTTACACAATCACACTAACATGTCCAGATAAATAACACTCTAACCTACTAAAATATTTACCCCCCATACCAATTATACCTAGTAATAAAGTTAACACATGTAGTGAAGGGTCAACAGTGTACCCCCAATTGATGCAAAACCCTGGTTACAAAGCATTCAAGGTTGATTCAAGGTACTTATGGATCTTTGGAGTTGAGCTTTATTAACCATTTGTCTACCCAGCTCAACAGGGCAAAGCAATAGATCGCTCGCTGCACGAGCTACCGCCGCGTCGCCTCAAGGAACGCCCCTAGCGGGCCGGCTCAGTAGAAGGTTTGTACGTTTATTCACTCGATTTTTTTGTTTATGTTTTCAAAGTATTCTATTATTTTGTGAAGAATTTTCAAAATATTCTGAATACTTTTAAAAAAATACATAAATTTTGAAAAGCGTTCATCACACATTTAAATATCGAGATATGTATATGGCAACCGTGTGGCAGATTGCGAAACTGCCACACGCATCCAGCGCCGTCACTTCCCTCCCGATCTCCTTCCTTCCCCGCACGTCCTTCAGATTTCTTTTCTTTCCCACACGCCTCGCCTTCCCGATTTTCAGCAAAAATAATGCTTGAACTAGGATTTGATCTCTGGTCTGGAGGTAATCAACAAAGGGAGCTAACCACCTCACCTATGACACTCATTGTTAAGCAAGTTAAGGGAAATACTGTTTTTGACATGTTCGTGGTAACTTTGATCATTTGGAATAAACTTGTTGAACCCGCCCCCCGGTAATTTCTGTAAATAGCACGATAATATTCACGTCATAGACCTGATAATTTAGATACAAACATCATAGTAACTTTAACCATTGGGGAAGACAAATGTGAAAAGATACCCGATAATTTATGTGTAACTAAATGGTAATATACGCAGCGCACATCTGATAACTAAGGTAGAAACACCATGGTAACTTTCGTAGGAATTTTTTTTTTGAAAAGATACTCCGATATCTTATGTGTAAATAGCGTAGTATACCTCCCTCCCCTGGCATTTTTATGTGTAAATAGCATGAAAACATATGCACTGCGATAACTAAACACCATGATAAGTTTTTGACCCGTGGGGGTGGGGGATTTGCTGAAACATACCCCTGATAAATTTTGTGTAAATAACATGATAGTTTAAGCACTACAGGCTTGATAGGTTACCTAGAATCCCCATGATAACTTTTTGTCCCGGGAAAAGGTTGTTCAAAAACATCCCCAATATTTTTTGTGTAAATAACATGATAATACAAGCACCGCATAACCGATAACTTACAATATAAACATGATGATAACTTTTTTTACCAAAGGAAACTAAGTTGTTAAAAACATACACTCGCCTCGCGCGTGGGTCTCTTGGATGAACACAACACATGGCATGCCACGGGAAAGTCACATAATATTTAGTGTCATGAGGGGCACACGTGCTATAGGCGTGATAAGTTACGCAAAAACATCGTGGTAATTGTTGACCTATGGGAAAAAGCTACCGAAACACACCCAGGTTTTTAGGTGCAAGTACCTTGATAATATACGAACTGTAGACCCGGTAACTCATGTACAATTCCTCATGGTAACTTTGACCGGGGGAAGGTTGATGTACATATACCCTGATAACTTATGTGTAAGTACCACGGTATTTTACACATCGAAGACCTTATAACTTGTGTACAAAACACAGTGATAACTTTGAAGGGATGTAGTTGTTGAAGCATAGATACCTGGTGCGTTCTATGTAAATAGCACGGTAAGTTATGCAACACAGGGTCTGATAACTTGCATACGAATACCATGGTAACTTTGTCCTCAGGAGAAATCATGTGGTAGACGTGAAGAAGTGGCAGTTTTCTCGGGGGTGGGCGCCCGAGATGTGCGGGAGAAGCAGGTTTCTCCGGCGAGCTTGCGGGGTCGTTTGGGAGGAGGCGAGGTCAAAGGACGAGGGATCGTGTGATACTTTAAAATAAAAAAAGTAAAGATGTGGCAGTTTTGCTTATATGACACACGTGTGCCAAATATCACAGTCCTTTAAATATTGTCCATGCAGTATAAA